CCCCCCCCCCCCAAGCCCATGGGGGGTATTTTTTAAGGGAAGAGAAGGCAATTTAGGGAAGGAAAGGTCTCACAGTTACTGGGTTAGACGGGCACAGCCAGGGCTTGGCTCCTGGGCACAGAGCCAGTGTAGACGATGCTCTAACAGACCGGGGAGGGGAGAGGAAGAGGGTAGCGGAGCGTGCCAGGACTCCTGGGTCCTATTCCCACGCCAGCCACTGCTGTTAAGCTGCTTAGCTCCCATCTCTGCCTCTGTTTCCAGAGCACAAAGCACATCGCAGCCAGCTCTGGGAATGCCCCCCACTCCGCAGAGCCAGGTTTTCCCCCCTGGTCCGAGCCGGGGATTCGAATTTGGGTCCTACGTGCTAATAGTGGCTTGCCCCCGAGATGGGCGATGAGACCCCCTGGGGCAAACTCATGCCTGTCCCCCTTTCCCCGACAGCCTGCAATGTGCTCTTCGTCAACTCGGTGGAGATGGAGTCGCTGACGGGCCCCCAGGCCATCGCCAAGGCCATCGGCGAGACGCTGGGCGCCGAGCCCGTGCCCTCCGCCACCATTGTGCACTTCAAGGTCTCCGCACAGGGGATCACCCTCACGGACAACCAGCGGAAGTAAGGGGGCAGCCAGCTTGTGGGGGGCCTTTGAAACCCTGTCGCGGCCTCGTCCCTCCTTGTCCTGCTGGGGTTGGAGCCCGGCTGCTCGGGACACTGGGCTTCGGGCCTCTGCCCTGCCACTGACGGCCCTCACGGCCTCTAGCAAGTCACTTCATCCCAGTGGGCACCTTTGTGGGCCTAGAGCTCAGTGCTGCAGACCCCCCCTCGGTTTAGTGCCTCCAGGCATCGGGCTCATGGGGCCGTGCTTGCCTTTCAGGCTCTTCTTCAGACGACACTACCCCCTCACCACCGTCACCTTCTGCGACTTGGACCCGCAGGAGCGGAAGTAAGTGCTTGGGTCCAGCCACGTCTCCCTCCACCCTTTCTGGGCATGCACACGTGTGTGCATGTGCATACATGTGTGTGTGCACCCATTTCTATTCCCTCGTCCTGTCCCCTGTGGCCGCAGAGCATCGTCTGTCTGCGCCCCCCGTATCGCACCCCTTCAGGGTTTGATCAAACCCACATCAGTCTTCTCTGCAGACAAAACCACCCTAATTCCCCCTGGCCTCGAACCATTGCTGCTGCTCTCTGCTGGGCTTTTCCTGCTTCATCCCTATCCCTGCGGTGCCCAAAACTAGATGCAGCTTTTAGCAGGAGGAAGCACCAACCTGGGGCTGCGACTTTGCCACTGTCACTGGTGACCTGGTCCCCGGGAGGCCACAAATCATTGCACCCCCCGGGTGTTGCTATTCATTGATACTGCTGTGGGCAGCTCTTAAGCCAAGTGGTTCAGTTTTAGGCCGGGTTGGGTGACTTCTTGACCCTGACGACTGTATTTTTGCCTGCATTTTTCACCGGCTGGGGAAAATAGGGGTGTGTATTGCACGTGAAGAAAAGGATCCCTGCTTGTCTGGTAGAGAGGTGCACCAGCCTGGAGAACTGGTAATAAGAGGAAATTGGCTGGGATCAGCTGATCCCTGCAGAGAATAGCAACACCCCTTCGCCCCGGGGCCCTGCCAAGGTCCGGGAGAAAATAACCTGAGATGCACATCTCCTTCTTTGGAGGTGTCCGAGCAGAGGCTAGGCAGGCGTCTCTCTGGGATGGGTTGGGAATAACACTTCCCAGGTGCACGAGTCCAGATTTGGGGCCTGCACGTCAAGAAGGGACGTGGGTGGTTTGGAAAGAGTCCAGCGCAGAGCGACTAAGATGCTGGGGGGCGTCGGAGACAAAACTCGTAGAGTACCTAAAGAAGTGGGGCTGTCGGGGAGCTGCGGGGTCACGTCCAGCCCTGAGGCTGGATCAGCCCCAACAAACCCTGCGCGCAACCTCAGAGCCGCACGACACGGTTGCCCCTGACACGGCCCCAGGCATCGCCCCCGCCCCTGTCCCGGGATGCTCAAGAGATCCCAGGAGGAGGCCATGCCCCTCTTAGGGGAAGGCAAATCCTGCCCTCTCCCCCCACAGTCTGTATCAAACTGAAAGTGGGGTAAAATTCCCTCCTGGCCCCAAATTTGATGTTGGTCTGACCCTGAGCCGGGGGCAAGACCCCTCAGCCAGGACCCTCTGGGTTTAAGCTGGAAACCTTGAGCTCGAGTCACGAGTCTCCTTCCAAAGAGCCTGCTGTGGCTCCAGCCGTGGGTGGGGGTCTCCTCCGCTCAGGACCCTTGGAAGTGCCTCCCCAGCTCTAACACCCCCCCCGGCTGACACGGGTGACCCGGCGGAAGGCTGTCCGGTCTCCACGGGCGGCGGGGAAGGCATTTCTGGGGCGGATGGAAAGGGTCAAGGCCAAGTGCAAACCTCTCTGTGACACCGCTCAGTTAGGGTGGGTGGAAGGTCCTCAGCGCCTGGCAGCCGATGCCAGGAGCCTGGCGCTAACCCCACGCAGGGGTCCGAGGGGGGCTCCACTTGCAACGGGAGACTGAGTGTGGCCAACCTCTGCAAGCAAAGCTGGGTTGTGCTTGGATGGGGCGGCCCGGTGAGAGAGGCTTGACCTTGACTGAGGACGCTGGCGAATTGCTGGGGGCTTTCAGGAGCGCGGGGCTGGCTGGGCTTGGGAGCGCCGTCACCGGCCGTGCTGGAGCTAACGCCGGGCTTTGCTTTTCTCCTTGCAGATGGGCTAAGTCAGAGGGCGGCGGGCCTGCAAAGTAAGTGCCACAGGTCACGTCCCTTCCCATCCTTTACCCCCCCCACCCCCAGCTCGGGGCAGGGTTCAGATAAATCGCACTTCCCCGGACTCCTGGGGCCGTCAGTCCGCGCCCCCGGCGGAGATCTCTGCAGGCAGAGACCCAGCAGCGACTCTGCCTCCTTGGTCCAGGTCTTCCAAGGGGCAGGATGGGGGGACCGACGGAAATGGAAAGCAGTCGCCTGCCCCGGCGTCCGAGGCGGCCACGCGTCTCAGGCCGCGTCAGCTCGGGCCGAGACGGGGGCCGACAAAGCTCCTTTGTTCCCTTTCCCCAGTGCAGGGCTGGCCTGCAAGGAGGCGATGGGTATGAAAGCCCCCAGGGTGGGGCCGTGCCACCGCGACCCCCGGCAGAGTGAGCGGGGGTCTGGGCACCCCACCGTCTCCTTCCCCGCCACCTCCCCGCGGCCGGCGGCAATGCATCCGAAGCCCCGCGGACCCCTCTCCTCTCCCCCTCTGCTCGGGTGCGTCCCTGGCCCCGCGCCCCTGCCCCCTGCGAGGCCGGAGACAGGTCCCCGGGAGCTCGGGCCCTGCTAATTTTAGCCATTGTGTCCGTGGCGGGTTTTTCTTAGCCCCCCCAGCTGTTGGGATTTTTCCCTCTCTAATTAGAAGTGGCGCAGGCTGGAGACGTCTCGCAGTCTGCACCCCCGAGCCCCGTATTTATAACGGCTAATTCGAACAAGGACATTTGGTTCCTCTCGTGACCGAGAAGGGGGATAGTTACAGGCATGGGTGGTCCTGCCGTGCAGAGGATATACCCCCCGCCCCTGCCCACCCCGCACGGTCGGGGAGGTGAAGTGTCCCCGGGGCCATGCCCGGACAATGCCCCATTGATGCTGGGGACGAGGCGGCCGTGGGGGTGGAAAATATGCCTGTCATGCCAAGCATCCGGACGCGGTGCCAGCGTTGACGAGCCTGGCTTGCAAAAGTCCCCCTGCCCTGGCAGCCGCTGGGGCGGGGGCTTGCTCCTCCTGAGCAGCTCTGCCTGCCCCTTCCCCTCGGCTGTGTGAGGGGCCCTGATTAAATCCATTACTCCTTGAGGACAGGAACGGCCCCTGCCTAAGACCTGCCAGATCCATGGGTTGACTCAGCCTAAGGGGTTTAGACACCCACTGCCTGCTCGCGGCATCCCAGTGGGACATCTCAGCTGCAAGGGGCAAGCCAGGACTGGGCTTCTCCTGCCCCCCAGCCCCCATTTGCAGCTCTCCATTAACGCCCGCTGTCTCCCTGCCAGGCTCTTTGGCTTCGTGGCCAGGAAACAAGGCAGCACGACGGACAACGTGTGTCACCTCTTTGCTGAGCTGGACCCTGACCAGCCGGCGGCCGCCATCGTCAACTTCGTCTCGCGGGTGATGGTCAGCTCAGGCCAGAAGAGATGAGCGGGCGCCCACGGGCGCTTCTCGCCCTTGAATTTTGGAGAAGGACTTGGAGCGGAGCCGAGAAGGAGCGCGAGGAAGTGCATGGTGGGAGAGGGAAGTGAGTTTGCGGGGAGGGGGAGGAAGGTTGGACACGTGGAAGGAGCATGAACCGCCACAGCCGAGAACCCAGCAAGCCATGCCAGCCCCGGCCACGTCACAAGCCACGTGACCAACGCAGGACCAGGGCAGCTTTGGGATCCGCGGCCCCGAAGCTGGTCCTGGCGACCTGTTTCCCTCCCCACCGCTACCCCGGCTCAGGGCAGAAGGGGGCATCGATGCCACCGAAACCAACTCCACGTAGAAGCATCCGTCCTTCGTATCCATGGACCGGTAGGAAGTGGCCCGTGTTTGGGGGCGGCTGAAACCACGTGGCCGCCCTCTGGGCCCTTCGCTCCCCCTCCCCCTGCTGCCTCCGTGCCCTTGCCATGTGCGTGTGTTGCTAGATGCACCCTTAGCCGCTGGACGAGCCCCCGGCGCCAGGGCCAGATAGAGGGGTGGGGGTCCCTGAGCTACCTGCCCCAGTCACGCTCTGATTTCGGGGGAATCCCTCTTCACACTATGGGACCTAGGACACACAGGTGAGCCACTGGGATTCCACCCGGGATGCGGGCCACACCAACACTCCCTTGCACACGCGCGGCGGGGAGCAGGGCCGCTCACAACCTGCTCCAAAGACAAGGAACCTGGTCAGAAGCAGCTCCGGGGCTGTATCCCGGGAGGCTGCCTGCCCCGTGCCCCTGGTTTTGCTCTGCAGGGCGTCCCCGTCACATGCCGGCACGGGTCCCTGGCCGGGTGGGATCCTGCCTCTTTCCAGCCTGTCTCCCCTGCTCTCCTGGATGTTGCATGGCCCGTCAGCTGCATGCAAGCAAATTCCCATGAGCACCTTGGGCACGCTCTTTTTAGTTTTGGAGGCCACCAGCCCTCGGTCCGGCGCAGAAAGGCCGCGTGTTGCATAGCACACGCGTGGGCACGTGACGGGGCAGCCACGAGCGTGCAGGTGCTGCAGACACCGGGGTCCCTTCCTCTCCTGTCGTCAGATCTGATACTGTATTTTCCCGCCTACCACACGTCCTGCAATAAGACCCGGGCCTTGTGTCGGAAAGGCAGGAGGAAGAAAGTGAGGTCCTCCTGAGGCTGCTCGCTTTAGGGCAGGTCGCCTTTCCCCTGGCAAGCAGCTGAAACAGCACTTACCGTATTTCCTCGCCTATAATGCGCCTGCCGGTTTCCAGCAGCTGTTTTGTGGGAAAAGGCAGGCATTTGTATGCGAAAAGATATGGCATAAGAAGCTGCCCATGCCAGGAGAGATGCGCTGAGGCAATCCTATCAGGATTTGCGTGGCCTGGCTGTGAGGAGGGCGTTGCGGGGTGAAGAGCTGGGGCAGGGGGGTGTTCTAGAAAGTAACAGGATTTCTTTTCTGACCTGATGCCTGGTTGCACCCTTAGCCAGGTGCCTTCAGGGGGGGAAACCTAAAGGGCCAGGCTTGTTTGTGGACCTCCAAGCTGATGTGTCTGTTAGTTTTTGATTCTGAAATCTGGAACCCCAAAAGACCCCCCCAGGGCATCTCCCCAGAGCCCTCCAGCCTGCGCTCAGCCCCAGTTCAATCCCAAGAGCTGCACTGTCACCAAACCCCCTTTGCATGTACCATGATTATAGACCTGCTGGGGCAGGGACACGGACAGGGAAAGGGCGGTGGGGACTTCACTGGGGCAACGTAATGCAAGGCTCCGTGGTCCAGGCTGTGTGTTAACCTCCCAGAGACCCCCGGCCCTTCCACCTGAGCTCTGCTCCCTCTTCCAGAGACGCAGCCCTGCTATGTCTAATATATATAGGAGCTCTCCCAACAGGATTACTGTAAGCTAATTGCAAAAATCTTTTCAAGGAAAGGTTAAATTTCCACCGAAGATATTTATTTTGTGCCCTGTTGCTTTCGGCGTATCTTATCTCCACTATATACAGCCCCCTGCGCCCTGTCTAGAGCCTCGTATGTATAGTGCCATGGATAACAGCTGACCCCCCCTCCCCTCCCCTCCCTGACCCACCTCTTTGCAGCC